CTTACACACAAATAACAAACACTGTCGTACATACAACTAACAAACACTGTCTTACATACAACTAACAAACACTGTCTTACATACAACTAACAAACACTGTCTTACATACAACTAACAAACACTGTCTTACATACAGCGATGAACCATAGTTTTAAATATGCTACATACAATGAAGAAATCATATCTTACACAAATCAAAGAAATAATATCGTCATTCATTTATCCAATAATCTTTTGGAAATATATATAGCTTGTTTTACTCGATCTACCTGACATCTTCCGGTCTTTTCCGAACAGTCCACGTGAACGTTTATTTTACACATCTTACATTTCAGCCCCTGACGAACATGACCTGTAATTAACAAACAACAGGGCATAAAGAAGACTAGTAGAACAGCAGATGTCCGAGTAACAGGCAGCAAAAACAATAACAGATATTAGGAGATAGCCGAATAACAATAACAGATACAAGATAAGTGATATTTGAAAACGGATTACATCAGAGGATATATCTGGAAGGCCATTTAAACATTACATTTTTATACACATAAATACAATTAGTTACTGAAATTCTTAAACTTAATACTACAATTGAAGTCCAATTTCAGTTGAAACTTATAAATGACATGGTGGTATTCATATATATTGTTTAAGGGTTAGATCTTCGTGTTGAACACAGCAAATACAGCACATTGGACAGCTTTTCAATAAGACAGAAAAAAATTACAGATTTTAAATACTTGCTTTCTTTAAATTAAATCAGAACAAAAGACCTAAATATCTTAATAAAGATACTTTCGTACCTAGATGTTCATACCAAAATGTTTCTACATAAGTGTGTTTTCTTATACTTCATAATCCCCCTATTTAAGCTCAATTATATCAAAACAAAACTCCAGACGAGCGTCTCTGTCTCTAAGTTTGTGCTGCTGAACAGTTGGTGTGTTTTATTTATTATAAAAGTGTGTTTAAGCTGAACTTTATCAGGTGTATTCTGAATCTGTTTTATACTTTACCCTATCTTGCTAGGTGTATTTAGAATCCGTTTTATACATAGCCCCACATTGCTAGATGTACTTTGTCTCATACATGACCTCACGTTGATAGATGAATTAAAATTGGTCAAGTTGACTGGATATTGCTAAGTAATTTGGAAATGGTCAAGTTGAACCCATATTGCTGGGAGAATTTAGAATTGGTCAATTTGACCCCATATTGCTAGGCGAATGTAAAATTGGTCAAGTTGACCCCATATTGCTAGGTGATTTTGGAATTGGTCGAGTTCACCCCATATTGTTTGGAGAATTTAGAATTGGTCAAGTTGACCCCATATTGCTAGGTGGATTTAGAATTGGTCAAGTTGACTCCATATTGCTAGGTGGATTTAGAATTGGTCAAGTTGATCCCATATTGTTGAGTGAATTTGGAGTTGGTCAAGTTGACCCCATATTGCTAGGTGGATTTAGAATTGGTCAAGTTGACTCCATATTGCTAGGTGGATTTAGAATTGGTCAAGTTGATCCCATATTGTTGAGTGAATTTGGAGATGGTCAAGTTGACCCCATATTGCTAGGTGAGTGTTGATGTATTGTGCCTATATCTATAAATCCAACGCTGACTTCTTTCTCATCATGAGAGAAACCACAAAGCCTCGTATAATTACCTCTCAAGATTTCCCGGCAGATGTCGCACGGTGTCACTTTCTTATAGGTATACTCTTGAAAGATATGCTGTCCAGGCTCCAGAGTAGATGATGTGTTAGTTTCTGGTCGAGCGAAACTTCTCAAACTCTTTCGGTCTGCTGTATCTGCCCTGTCGAGATAAGATTAAGATGGATTCAGATGTAAGCCTTTTATAGATGAAAATTATACCGTTCACTGAGAGAAATACAAAAAGAGTTTTGGATCAAAATATATTTAGATTTTCATATAATTAATAATTTCGGTATCTGATGAATATTATGTTTGTCTGGATTACTATCTATTATAATATTCATCATATAACGTTATGTGTGAATATTAGATTTTCTGGGATAAAATATGGGTTTCATGTTCTTTCCTGACCACGATGACGTCATTATTCATACAACGCCGTACGATGTTTGTTTGTAGTTAAGCACAAAGCTACACAATAGGCTATATGCACAAGGGTCACTACTATGTGTTTGTGAAATTACAAGGGTCACTACCATCTATTTGTGAAATTACAAGGGTCACTACTATGTGTTTAACAAATTACAAGGGTCACTACTATGTGTTTGTGAAATTACAAGGGTCACTACTTTGTGTTTGTCAAAGCACACGGGTCACTACTATGTGGTTGTCAATTACAAGGGTCACTACTATGTGTTTATCAAATTACAAGGGTCACTACTATGTGTTTGTCAAATTACAAGGGTCACTACTATGTTACGATGTAAAGAGACCGTTGTAAATTAAACACCTAAGTCAGCTGGGCTCACGTCAGAAAATTGTAGCTATTCAAGTGTTGGAACAGCTCAGTAAGCCTTACTTTTCGATACTGTTACAGGATGTATCTGACTTCAGACTTCTAAACTTAATTTCAGCTCATTAAGCCTTACTTTTCGATACTGTTACTGGATCCACCTGATTTCAGACTTCGAAACGCCTTCAGCCATTTATTCTTTATGGTGCCAGTACTTGATGTAGAAGCTTTCCTTTCTTGTTGGTAGCTGCCATTCTCCTGAAGGTCCCTTGCTTTACCTTCAAACAGCTTTTGCTGAAATACAGGGAAAAAACGTGGCTGTTTATTCAGAACACATGAAACTGTTCTTTTTCTTTTCGTCTCTTTTATTCAAAAACATAAAATTCCGTACTTCAGTAGTTCAATAGCGGCTGTTTGACTAAACTATGCAGTTGTTCAAATTCCCCAGTGTGTACCCTCTCTCTTTATTAACCAAAACACTAAAAATTTAAAATAATTTCGATCTTTTGTGTAATTGTAAAGAAATTACTTTGGTTTTCCCTCTGAAATCATAGTACATTTAACTTTTTCACAGAATAATCACTACGAATAACTTACCTTCGTGTGGGAAAAATTATTTTAAAGACATTATATTTTATTATAACCCTATATCCCCACACGAGGGATCTTCCCCTGGAGACCTAAGCGAACCCTGTCCCCTAACCCAAATAGTGGGGCTCGCAAGGCCTTGGTGGTTAAGGCGCTGGACTCTTAACTTGAGGGTAGCGAGTTTGAATCCGAATATACTCGCACTTTCAGCCCTGGAGGCGATATAATGTGATTGTCAATCCCACTATTCGTTGATAAGAGTAGCCCAAGAATTGGCGGTGGATGGTGTTGACTAGTTGCCTTCCCTTTAGTCTATCACGGCTAAATTAGTGACAGCTAGTTCAGATAGCCCTCGAGTAGGTTTGTGCGAAATTCAAACCAAACCTAAATAGTGGTCTAGTACAAGTTCCTTAAATTAGCCATCGAAGTTCTGTTGTTTCTTAGTCACTTGAGTTACATAGATTTTATATATATGTTTGCAATGTTCTCGAATTACACTTTTATGGAGACACAAGTAAGTACTCTGGAGACTCAGGAAGATCTCTTCTTCTGCGACAAATATTTATGGAGATCTTATTCTTCAACACGATCTCTTCTTCTACAACGATCCTTCGGTGGGACAGCGGTAAGTCTTTGGATTTACAACGCTAAAATCAGGGGTTCGATTCTCCTCGATGGACACAGCAGATAGCCCGATGTGGATTTGCTATAAGAAAACACATATACTTTTGGACATATATTCTTCACCTCCTTCCTACTCAGTACTCATGTCATCAAGGTGGCAGTACACCCTTCCCCTCCACACACACACACACACACTAAGTACTCATGTCATCAAGGTGGCAGTACACCCTTCCCCTCCACACACACACACACACACACTAAGTACTCATGTCATCAAGGTGGCAGTACACCCTTCCCCTCCACACACACACACACACACTAAGTACCCATGCCATTAGGGTTACAGTAAAACTCCCCGACTTATTACTTATGTCATGAAGCTGACAGTAAACCAACCCATACTCAGTAATTATGTAATGAAGCTGACAGTAAACCTACCCCTACTCAGTACTTATGTCATGAAGCTGACAGTAAACCTACCCCCTACTCAGTACTTATGTAATGAAGCTGACAGTAAAACGCTCCGATCAGTACTTATGTAATGAAGCTGACAGTAAAACGCTCCGATTCAGTACTTATGTCATGAAGCTGACAGTAAACGTATCCATACTCAGTATTTATGTCATGAAGCTGACAGTAAACGTATCCCTACTCAGTACTTATGTCATGAAGCTGACAGTAAACCTACCCCGACTCAGTACTAGTACCAAACATAGCACACTGTTGCAAAACAATATTGACTTACCTGTTCTTTCACGGCGGCGTGGTGAATGTGCGCCACCTGTAGGTCGAAACGTTTCAGACTGATATCTTCTTGTAACTCATTAGCCTTGTTGTACAAGTTTGAATCTAAACTCCTGTAAAAATTTCACGTAAGTTTTGAATTTGTTGGTTTCGAAAGCTTGAAATTAAAAGAATATATTTGTATAACACGGTTCACCTGAAAAAAGCCTCTACGTCACTACTTGTGTTAATTTAGGGTATCGATCGTTCTATAACTAGCGGGTCTAAGTGAAACCTCTCCATCTTGGCTATTTAACTTTGATTAAGCTTATATTGAAACGTTCTAAAATGTAAGTTGATAAGTTAATGGTTTTGTTAGGACTGAGAGATAAAATCACAACATTCAAAAATTACTTTTTTGAACAGATAATTATGTAAGAAAAAGTGATTAGCAAGCACACAAAAAATAATGTACACGCAAACTGTAACATCATAGAATTGTAGACACCGCTTGTAGCTGCAATAATAGATACATTCTTGTTAGTCTTAAAACGTCAGAATTGTAGACACAGCTTGTAGTTGGAATAATATATACTCCCTAATTGTTCTTAATACTTTAGAACTGAAGACACAGCTTGTAGTTGGAATAATATATACTCCCTAATTGTTCTTAACACTTTAGAACTGAAGACACAGCTTGTAGTTGGGATAATAAATACACTTTTGTTAGTCTTAACACCGTAGAACGTTCTTAGCTGATATATTTGAACATAAGCTGCAGATACTATGAAACTTCTATCTTTTTGTGTATTAAAACAAATCTTAACCTAGTTGGTGAATAATAATTACCTTTCTCTGCACGTTACTGTTTCACATCCAACGTATGGACTATTTCAACCTCCTCCGTAGTGCCATCTTTTGAGGATAATAATAATAAAACTTCACCTGAATAAACACTAACAGCAGTGGAAATGAAGAATTATCTTAAAACCTACCTCTGCTGTAATCTCTGCAGCGAGTCAAGAGACTCCTGCAGCTGTCGGATCTGGGACTCCAGGTTACCAATTTCTTCTCGCAGAGATTCAGGCTTAGGAGGAAGAGACAGTTGGTCAAATACCAGGTCCTCTTGGAGAATGTGGCTCGACTCCTAGATGGTCAGATGTTAGAAATGATTAAACGTGGCCGTAAAACAGCTATAATGCTGGGATGTTGGTGACTGTATAACAGTTATAGTGTTATGTACGTGACTGTAGAAGAGTTATAATGTTATGTACGTGACTGTAGAAGAGTTATAATGTTATGTACGTGACTGTAAAACAGTTATAATGTTGTAATGTACGTGACTGTGGAACAGCAATAATGTTGTGATGTATGTGACTGTAAAACAAATATAATGTTGTAATGTACGTGGCTGTAAAGCAGATATAATGGTGTGATGTACGTGGCTGTGAAACAATTATAATGTTGTAATGTGTGTGACTGTGGAACAGCAATAATATTGTAATGTGTGTGACTGTGGAACAGCAATAATGTTGTAATGTGTGTGACTGTGGAACAGCAATAATGTTGTGATGTACGTGACTGTGGAACAGCAATAATGTTGTAATGTGTGTGAATGTAGAACAGCAATAATGTTGTGATGTACGTGACTGTGGAACAGCAATAATGTTGTTAATGTGTGTGACTGTAGAACAGTTATAATGTTGTGATGTATGTGACTGTAGAACAGTTATAATGTTCTGATGTACGTGACTGTAGAACAGTTATAATGTTGTAATGTGTGTGACTGTAGAACAGTTATAATG